ACCCCCCCCGCCAACAAGCCCCTGCCCCCCACTCTTCCAGAGGGAGCCCTCAGCTGCCAGGGCTATGGGACCAGAGACCTGGGTCCACAGCCCCCTGCCCCCCATAGCAGTGCCCAAGCACCAGCTGTTGCCCATGGGAGGTGGTGGCTGCTAAGGCAGAACAGAGCATGAAGCCCAGTTTCCCCTCCCCAACAGGTGGCACAGCCAGAGTGAAGTCTGCAGATGTGGGCTGACTGCTGAGGGCTCGGGCTTCCCTCCCTGCTGCCTCCCTGCCCTGCCACCTGGGACCACCGCAGCCCAGCGGGTGGGACCCGGTACGGCAGGGCAAAGTAGGGCCAGGCAGGGAAGCTCAATGCTGCTGCTGTGAGCTCCATGCCACTCTGGCAAGGTGCCCCTTGCCCATCTGGCAGCAGCACATGAACAACTTTGTGCTGCCATTCACACTGCTGCCAGGCAGGCAGGGGGCACCTCGCTATGGCAGGGCAGGGCTCATGGCAGTGGCACCAAGCTTCCCTGAGCCACTCTTCCATGCCAGTTCCCACCCACTTGGCTGTGGAGGCCCTGGAGGGAGGGCAGCAGAGCAGGGAGCCATAAGCCCACAGTGGGCAGTCCACACCCACCCCACATACAGATCCGGGAGACTTGTGCCCCCCCTTTCTCCCCCTAGGAGTGCACATAATGGCAGGGAGCCAACCCCCCCTCCGCCAGCCATGGCCCCATCTTAACCTCTGCCTGGGCCCTGCATTTGTTTTGACTACACCTCTAAAATTCAAACAAATCACTAGCCAAAGGTTAGCTATTCAGAGCTATGTGGTTCTATATAGAGTCTTACAAAGCAAAAAAAAAAAAAAATCTAGTTGATGGAACCCTATAATACTCCCTAACACACTCCCAATTCCTACCGGTCTGACTACTGCATATCTACAGAATTTTTTTATTTATCCTTCACAATAAGATCCTGGTTACACCTTGAGAGAAAAACCTGAGACCACAGATGAAACCTTGCCGCTTGCCCCAAAGGTCAGCAAACTTAGGTGTTCCACAAAAATGTCAGGAACTAATGCCAATGCTCTAGAGTCTGTACTTGAAAATATCCAGTCACTCACTTTCTTCTGGTGAAACTGGGGAAATCTCAGTGTGATCTCTTCAGATGATTGCAACTGTTGCGCTGGGGGAGAAGCGGGGTGGGGGCTGACTTAAACTGTTCTGTGCTTCCCTAAAATATTCCAGACACCAAGTAGATATGAGCCACTGCTGAAAGATGCATGATGATGATTCATTGACCTGCATTCCTCAAGAAGAGCGTGGGCTTGCACGAACAAACATGCTAATATTTTCGTTGCTTAGCTTTATAGCTCCCACACCAACTGATGAATTTTTTCCTTCTACATGCCACTGCCATATCCATTACTGGGATGTAGTTTACTAACCTCTGTGTAATTGCCATAGGATTGGGAGGAGCCAATGTACTTTCATTCTATGAATATTATACAATAAAAGCTGTACTATCCAGCATCTTACAAGTTGGCATGCTCCACTAACAGGTATGATGGCTTGTAAGATAAAGTGAAACTGGAAGTGCCCACAGTGGGCACTTCCAGTTTCTCCGAGTCCCCACGGTCAGAGCAAAGCAGCCTGTGCTGCCGAGCCCCCACAGCCCAGGGGCATAACAGACTGTGCAGGGCCATGCGGGGCCTACCTCCCTGTCCCACGGGGCCTGCCGGACCCATGGGACGGGCAACGATGCGGCGGGAGGGGCAGAGAGACGCCCCAGATGTGGCAGGAGAAACGGCTGCCGGGGTCACTCAATTAACTGGCATTCCCATTCCAGAGGATGCCAGATAACAGAGCTTTTACTGTATTTCTCTCCCTTTCTTGCTAACTTGAAGTTACTGGGTGTCACTAGGGTACAACACAGAATCCACTGCAGTTTTACCCAGCCCATATAAAGAGTGCATCATGCATGAAATGTATTATTTGCCTCTTCCTACCTCCTGGTCCATACTCTACACCCACATAAGGGACAGGCATAATGCATTCTGAAGTTTTTCAGTAGAAAATAACAGTCTATCCAGTAATAAAACTATTCTACTGGATGTTTTCTACAACTATTCTAAAAGTTACTTCGTAGACCAGTAAGTGTAATGATGCAGATGAAAAAGGTCAAATGTCAAAAAGACAAAAGCTTTGCTGTAGATTTCATGCTGATGCTCTAATAATCAGTTTAGATCTTTTGCTAGGAAATGGCCATTAACTTCCTTTCCCAAACAAAATTAATTGCTACACATAGGTAGCACTGAATACAGTTGTGGTTTAATCTACACTGCAAATTAAAGAATGGCAATTAACACAGAATGAAAGTCAGACCAATTTAATAGCCGCTTTTCATGTACAGAGCCACCTGTGTGACTGGTGCATTGTGACAAGGATCTGGGAATGGTGTTGACTCACTGGGAAGCTTCTTAAACTAGTTGGAACTAGAGACTTTGGACACAGGGGCTAAGTATTGACAGTCAAAAAGCCTGAAATTGACAGTCAAAAAGCCTGAAGCTGAATCAATACAGTCTTTGCAGATTAGTCTAAACTGTGTAGATTGAACTGATAAGCAAGTGAACAGATGTTCATTCACTTTTTATTCTGGAAATCCAGTCACATGCCTACAGTGGCCCAGGCCAGAAGCTAAGGAATGCTAAACCATGTCCCCCCGCTCAGCTGAAGCAGACAGCTTGGACCAAGGCTAGCCTGCCCACCCTGTGGCTGGGGGGGAGCAGGGCCTTGCGAGGGAGGTGCAAAGCATCCTGGGATGCTGGGGGGCTGGAAATTAACTTGAATCTGGGGCGGTCTGAGACAGAAGTTCCATAAACCAATTTAACCTAAAAATCAGCAAAATCTGATGCTACTCCCATCCAGGTTTATCTGGAACTAATTTCAGCCATTTTGAAAGCAATTTATGTGCACTGAACTTGTATTGTGTTACAGGTTTCCAATCATTTATACTAGTTTGTGTGTAATTTCTGTCCCTAGCCATGGTCTCTTTTTACAATGCATCCCTGGCACTCTTTGGGAATGTCACTATTGAGTGAGACCTGTGTCTGCTCCCATGTACCAAACTCAGAAATGAAGAATGGAATCCAGGCTTGGCATGTGAATGTGGGAGCAGGTGGGGAGGATATATCTGAAATGGATGCTCCCTAAGAGCACCTGGGATGTGGTATATACTTGCTCAAAGAATGATAATTTCTGAAACAACAATGCAGTAACCTACCCATTACCAGGATTTAAACTACAGTGCTAATCAATCGGTGTTAGTGCTAGCTGAAGTGTAGAGCAGTCACACTTCAGGCCAGCTGAGGCCTGGAAGACTGAAAGGTAAGAATCCTCTCCTCCCATTCTGGGCTTCCCCAATAACCCCTAGGGCTCTCCTGGTTCCCTCCCCCTCCCCACATCCCACTTCCAGGGTTCCCCCTCTGCCTCCCACCTCCCAGTGCTCCCAGGATAAGTATTTGTGGCTGCTTGAACTTTCTGGCCCATTGTATGGCCCAGAGAGCAGCAGGTGGCCAGGCAAGTAGGTTAGCCCATCCCTGCCTGCTCCCCAGAACAGACAGCCACCAGTAAACAAGGGAGGAGGGCAGGCAGTGAGCAGAGATCTGGCATGCTGGGGATGGCAGGGAAGGGGCCATAGATGGAAGGAAAAAATATTATTTGTGGGGGCTGAGTGCATCATCAGCATGAGAACTACAACTCCTGTTGTGCTCTGCATGGTGCAATGTATGTGCAGTTAGCTGCTTCTTCCTCAGTCATGTGGAGCTGAACATGCATGGGGCGTTGGCCTGGCTGCATCCCAAGCAGTGCTGTAGTGATGCTGCTGTTGCTAACCACTGTGAAATTAGTTTAGGGGGGCTAAGTCCCCGAAGCCCAGGCCTTCTGCCACCTATGGAAGGGGCAATGAGCCCAATCTGGGCCAGCAGGGAAAGAAAAGGGAGAGTGGGAAGGGAAGGTGGATGGGGTGTTTACACTAGCCTAGAGTGGATACATCTTAGTGTAACACAAGCTGAACAACATAGAGCAGAGATAATCCTGCCCTGCAGTAGCATAACTTTGAGCTGTATAATGACTGTTTCAAACCAGTTTCATGGGTTAATGTGTGAACAATACAGTAGTTAAGAGCTCCAGGAGCTGCCCAAAATTACCATGTAACAAGGCCCTTAGTTTATCATGCTTGATATTGGTGAGGGATGAGGGGTTTGTGATGTTACAATGCCTACAAATTATACACTACAACTGGGCATCCCAGATCTGGTCAAATTATTGGCCTGCCCACTTGTCTCTGGGCAAACCGTCCACCTACTTCACTCACCACACCTTAGTTGGTATCAATTAGAGGATGTCAATAAGCTGGGAGGCTACCCATTTACTTGCCCTGATGTCAAGGGTTTACACACAGCTCCGACCTTCTCTATATTGTTTCCCATGCCGTGCAGATGGCATCCATGGCCTAACACCCAGCCTATTTGTCTAGCTTATCACCCAGCCACTCAATCACTTGGGGCTCCCAGTCCCTACCTTTTGCTCAGGACTGTCCTGGTCTCCTCACGCCCCCACACTGGGGCCTCATCCCCTGACCTGCACTGGGCTGCAATCCCCTTTATCCTTCTGCCCAAGGAGCTTCAGACATTGCTCCCTCGTACATTCAGGGTCCCACCCCCCTGGAGCCTCACTCCCAGCTCCCTTAGTGTGCCTCAGTGCTTGCTGTGAGCCTGGGCTTGCTCTGGCCTTGCTTTGTTCTTTCCCCTCCATGGGGTCACCTGCAAGGAAGCCAGGGCTGAGGCTCTTTGGTGCCCCATATTTGCCCTTCACTGGAGAGGCCCCAGGTGTGGCATTTCCTGGAGACTGCCCCGCCATCAGCAGTCCCACTACACCAGCCAGCCCCAGCAGGGTGTAGTTTTAGGTCATGCACCAGGACCAGAGCTTCCTGCCATCCTCATAGCTCCTTCCCTTACCTCCAAAATGTCAGGAGCAGCAGCTTCAGTCAGATGATGTTCTCCTGACTGCTAGCAGCAGACTGCTGGCTTTGCTGCTCAGAGTCCTGTTTTTATAGAGAACAGCTAGGCCGTGTTCCCAGTCAGGCAATTGGGTCTAACTGGGATTGCAACCAGCTGCAGACTGCCTTGCTGCTGCTCATGCCCCTGTGAGTAACAGAGCACACCCTGTGCTCTGTTATAGGCATGCAGGCATGCCCGTATTATATTGGATGGTGTGACCGCATGCCTCAGTGAAAATTTTACTGTCCCCTCGCTCCCCTTCATGCACTGAATGCCAAAAGAATGTTGGTTTGAACTTAACCTTTCCTAATGCAAACAGAACATATTTATAATAAAATAAGTAAGTAAATTAATAAAATATAAACAAAAAGGATCCAGTGAAGATTAGATCAATATGGAAGTACAAAGTTCTCTTCAGGACAAAATATGTAGGTGCTGCCATTTGCTGGGTTTTGAAGCTCCAGGGTTAGTAGAGTTTAAGTTACAGAAAGTGGTAGACGTATAGTTGTTAGGGCATATTTTTCCCATTGTACTCCCAGTTACAAGGATGGTGATACCCACATTGATGGATTATTTTCTTTCAATCTTTATTCTTTCTAAGCCCCATTGAAATGCAATATGGTAATTTAGGCTTCTAAATTTCTAAGTCATTTTTTGTTAAATGACTTTAAAATGCTACTAATATTTGTATAACATCCAGCATTGAAACAGTATTATATGAACATATAAAGCATTGCACTGTGTTCCTGTCCTGTTGTTATAGAGCTGCAAACTGGATGTATTTTGATGATTATTTGAAGCAATTCTTATGCATGCAAAGAGCTAAATTTTAGTTGTTCAATACAAAGACTTCCCCCATTGTGACTCACTACACAGATTATTTTTACACAACATTTGTGCTATCTTCCTGCCCTAATCATATGGGGGTGAGGAACCTATGGGCCAGTAGTCACCAACTGACCGATTTCGATTGACTGGTCAATTGCAGAGACCCTGCAGGTCAATCTGAGGCTGGGGGGGTGTTAAGCACATGCGTACATGCACGTGTTCACTGCTCCCCAACCCAGCAGGTCAGTCCATGGAGCAGGGGAGGGGCAGGGAGCTCCCGCCACTGTGAGCATCCTGACGGAGTCCCCTTGGTGTATGTGCTCCCACTATCTGTGCATGGAGGAGGAGGCTGCCATTGTGGCTTGGACTTTGTGCCCTGAGCCCCACTGCAGCTGGCCTGGCAGCAGCTCGATGCCACATGTGTCCTGCTGCTAGGCTAAGCCTTGTCCCTTGCCCACCCAGTGGCAGATGCATGTGGCGTCAAGCAACTCCTGGGCCAGCTGCAGCAGGGTGCAAAGACCATCCTACAATGGCACATATGGGGGGTGGCACATGACCCCCCACAAACACGGGGCAGGGCAAGCAGATGCAGCTGCAACAGCGCTGAGGGAAGGAGTGGGGCAGGGGCAGGCCCTGCACAGCCAGGGTGGGGCATGGGATGAATCTGCAAGTGGCTCATCTGGGGAAGTGTGGGAGGGTGCGCAGCCCGGAGGGGCATGGGGGGTGTGCCTCTGGATCTGCAAGTGGAATGGGGTGGGGTGGGGTTGGCTGAGACTGGGGTTATGCTGAGCTCTTCCTAGTGTGGGTGTTGGGCAGCACTGCACTCGGGCCAAGCAGTGGTGGTGGCAACGGCGCTGGGAACGGGGCTGTGTGTGTGTGTGGGGGGCTGCAAACACCTGAAAATATGCCATAGCTTTCCCAACCCCCTCCTAGTGCCACTGTTGCCCACCCCAAACACAGCACGGCCCAAGACCTGCTGGGAAGAGTGCAGGGCAGCCTGTGCCCCACTCCCCACCTCACCACTGTTCCCCCCACATGGCCCTTTCCCCTTCCCCACAGACTTACCTGCTCATGCAGGGCACACCCCCATATAAATTTTTCTCCACCTCGATCTGCACCCCCCCCTTCCTTCCCCACAGACCAACCTGGGGGGGGGGCAGGTTGGGAGGTGGCAACGCACTGTAGATATTGGGTTGCTTTTTCATTCAAAAAGTAATCTCCTACCCAAAAAGGTTGGAGACCACTGCCATCGGTCATGGGCTGGATCTGGCCCACCAAGCAATTTTGTCCAGCTTGAAAAGTCTATATATTGGTTGTAGGGGGGGATTCAGCAGCTGTATCAGAAGCACCAGCCCACCTTGGACCAAACTGCATTATTTCAGCCTGCTGTTCTGAAAATGTTTCCAATCCCTTCTCTGTGCAACCCACCCACCAACACAAATGCAGAATGCCTACCCAACCTCTTTTTGAAAGCCTCCAGTGAGAGATTCCATAACATCTCTAAACAATATGTTTCATTGTCCTACTGTTCTTAGAGCTGGGAAGTTTTTTCTTAGATTTAAATCTAAATCTGCTTTGTTGCAGTTTAAATATATTGTCTCAGGTCCTACCCTCTGTAGCAAGGGAAAACAGTCCTCTTCTTTATAGTAGTCAAATGTTTGGAAGATATTTCATGCATCCCTTGACCCTTAATCTCACTTTTTCCAAACTATACAAATGTAGCTTTCTCTACCTTTCATCATACAGCTTCCATTCTAATCCCTTTATCATCTTTGTCATTGACCTCTCTAGTTTCTTTACATCCTTCTTAGAATGTGGAGCCCAGAGCCACACAATAGCCCAGCTGAGACCCAACCAGCTCTTAGTCAAGTGGTAGGATCATCTTCCATATCTTGCATACAATACTTCTGTTACTGTAGCCACGAACTGCATATGCTTTATTTGTGACTACATCAGATTTCTGACTTAGGTTGAGTTTATGATCCCCACAACTCCCTAATACCTCTTAGCAGTCCTACTAGAAATCAGCTGTTTCCTCATTACATCTTGATGCATTTGGCTTTTGTTACACCTTGTTCATTTGTCTTTGGTGAGGTTTACTTTGTTGTTCATAGCTCAGTTCTCCATTTTATCCTCATTCTTTTGAATACTGCTACTACTGTCTTCCAAAGTGTTTGTCCTGACTTTTGTGCCATTTGCAAATTTTAATCAGGAAGCTCTCCAGTCCTGCACATAAGTAAATAATACTGATGTTATATACTACTGGGCCCAAACCCAACCCCCAACACTTTTCTGAAGTGGGAAGAAGAAAGAGCCATGGCCTTGAATTTTTCTCTGCACTATCCAGCAATGCTCCCAGGGTCTGGGTAGATGCTAAAAAACAAAGTCCAAAGCATTTGAAGTGTTTTAGATGTTCAGAGACTATATATATAAAATAAAAGATGACCTATTCTTGTAATGTTCTGTAATGGCTTTTATTGAAGGTCAATTTTATTAACATAGAAATGAACAATAAGATAGAGTTTGGTTCAAACATTCTTGTCAAGTTTGGATGCTTTTAAAATTCCTATTTCCAGATCTCTACACTGTCAGCCAAATTCATTTTCTACATATTTACTTCCACATCTCATACATCAGAAAGGTAATGAGCCACCTGCCTTAGTGGATCAGCAGAACCCATTTAACATTTCTTAGCAAGATGAGAGCCTATTAATGTGGTCAGGTGTTTCAGGCAAACTCTGCCAGACAAGTCCACAAGAGAAAGAAAAAGACCAGCTGAAAGCAAAGTGTGTGTGTATGCACACACGTATCTATTTCAAATATCCAAAATATCCTGAATCAATTCCCCCCCCAAATCATAATATTGCCTTAAATATCATGATAAAAAAGAGTGTAGGGCTCTTTTCATTTGCCTTCTGTTTTCTAAGCCTTGATGCAACATATCCCATTTTCAACTTCTGCACTACTACAAGATGTAGAAACCTTTTTTCCTTCAAACACAAGATGAGCTTTTCACATAATCCTTTGTCAAAGTAAAAAAAAAAAAATCAACTATTGTGAGTAAATTAATAGAGTTGGCAACAGTCCATCTCCTCTAGAAAGAAGAGTCATGCTTTTCTTAGCTCTTTTGTTCCCATGATAGTAGCACTGCAAATTAGGCCCACCTAGGCCTCTAAAATTTGGAACCTGTATGAAGAGGGGCAGGGGACAACTCAGTCTGGAGAAACTCTTTATAAATATTCTTCCCCTTAGTATCTATCCTGTGCCACTGTGAAATACAGAATATTGACCTAGATGGACCCATGGTCTAATCCAGTATGGTATCTCTTAAGTTCTCATCCCCTCCCAGTAAACATATGATTTATGTTTTCCATTAAAGGGAAATCAGATATGGGAATCTAGTTTCCCTAGGTATCATTCTGCAACTTAAATTATTAGATGATTTCCTCAAATATATTTTGACAGCCAATGATGAAGACAGGCATTTCTGGCCACTGACATTATCAGGACAACCATAAACAAAGATATTTCTTAAATTACTCCCAACATCACCTTGATAACTGGAGGGTAGACATGCTCTTTAGATGGAGAGTCCACAGTGCCTGCTAGAACTGCAATGAGTTTTTCAGTTGTCCTCCAACATCATCTCCAGCTTTTCTGGATAAATTATGAAGCAGTCAAGTTTTTTCCCTTTATGTCCTTATTTCCCTCTGACACAAAATGCAGGGTGAAAGCACTATTAATGCTTACTAAGACAACATGAGTTGCTACTGTTATCCAAATACTAAGATATGGTAGCCCTTAGCATTTTATATCTCCCCTAGGGGCCTTACCACAATGTACACATTGAAAAGAAAGGTGACAAAACTAAGCCCTGTGGACTCTCTGGTGAGGAAAAGCAGGTGGTACCTGTCTCTGCATTGTGAACTACCTCAGAGGAGGTGACGGTGACATTTCAACAGCAGCTGTTCATGATTCACAGAAAAGAATACTACTGATAGTTCTAATAGCATTAGCATAGACTTTTGACCTCTCTCTCTCTTGTTTTCTCTCTTTCAGGACATTTAAACTTAGGAGAGCTTTATCATGATATGAAAAATTGTATGGCAGTGGTGCTCAACCTTACTGGCCCCATGGTCTGGATAAATGGTGCAGGGCTGGTCTACAGGCCAGATCCTATGTGCA